TGAATCAAGATTGTTTAAGACAAGCCCAATATGGATTTAGAGTTGTAGGTTCAAAACATCCCTTTCCCATTGGACAAGTCAGACCAAAGACATACCTTTCTCAAGTTCACAGATGTGGGGTCAGTCCTAGTTCATTGTAGGCCCCTCTAAGCATCACCCACTTGGAGAACTGGCTCATCATTTAAAATATTTCCTGTCATTCCCCAGCCAGTCCCAGACTGCCACTGCTCAGGTTCCTGCCTCCGAGGCTTTCCCCCTAGAGCTTCCTGCACTTCTCAGAGGAAGGACAGCCCAGAAAGGAGCCCATGCCTTCCAACAAAGGAGGCAAGAACATACAATGGGGTAAAGACAATCTGTTCTTGCATTTTTCAACTAGTATGCCACAAGAATTATTTTTAAAACATGCAATACCTGACTATTCAGGGGCACTGACCTCTTTTCCCTTAGATTGTCAAATAAAAGAATGACTACAGCCAACACAACAATAGCCATCAGGTCTGAATATGCTGCCTTGAACCATAACAAAGTTCATATAATAGGTTGCATCTTACTGGTCACATCGCATAAGGTTGTGTCCAATTGGTTAATTCTTAGTACTAGAAATCATATATACAAGTATGGGCACTTGGGTTTTTTTTTACAAATTCACTGGAGAAAGAAGGGTAGGTAATTTGGTAAGTCTGTCAGTTATATCTATATTTTTTTTGTCAGATCACCAATAAATTTTTTGCTATATCACATAATTTTAGTAATTATGTCTGCCATGGGATGGAAAAGTTGAAAAGCGCTGGTTTATTCAATAAAAGGTGTTGGGAAAATTGTACAGATACGTGCAAAAAAATGAAACTAGACTGCCTTCTTACAGTATATGTAAGAATAAACTCAAAATGGATTAAAGACTTAAACATAAAACTTGAAACCATAAAACTAGAGAAAACAGGCAGTAAAATATCTGACATTTCCATTAGCATTATTTTTTCTGACATATCTCCTCAGCCACAGGAAACAAAAGGGAAAATAAACGATTGGGACTACATCAAACTAATAAGTTTTTGCACAGTAAGGAAACCAACAAAATGAGAAGACAATCCACTGAGTGGTAGTCCCTAATGATACATCTGATAAGGAATTAATATCTAAAACTTATAAGGAACTCATACAACTCAAATTTTAAAAAAATTAAAAAATGTGAAGATGTTCAACATCACTAATCATCAGAGAAATGCAAATTAAAACCACAATACGATATCACCTCACACCTGTCAGAATGGCTATCATCAATAAGCAAGTGTTGGTGAGGATGTGGAGTAAAGGAAACTAGTGCACTGTTGTGGAGAATGCAGCCTGGTGTAGTCACTGTGGAAAGCAATATGGAGTTTCCTCAAAAAATTCAAAATGGAACTGCCTTGTGACAGTGGTTCCATTTTTGGGAATTTATACGAAGAAACCCGAAACATTCAAAAGAATATATGCACTCCTATGTTCATTGCGGTACTTTACAACAGCCCAGCTTTGGAAGCAGCCCAAGTGCCCACCAATAGGATTAAAAGGCAGTGGTACATTTACACAATGGAATGGGACTTGGTCATTTAAAAAAAAAAAAAAATGAAACCTTTTGCGACAGCATGGATGGACCTGGAGAGCATCATGTTCAGGGAAATAAATCAGAATAAATACCATATGATTTTACTCGTGGAATATAACGAACAAAATCAAAACACTCATAGGTAGAGAGAAAGACTGATGGCTGCCAGAAGCAAGGGGAGTTGGGGAATTGGGTAAAAGGTGAAGTGACTAAGAAGTACAAATTGGTAGCCGCCAAACAGTCCCAGGGTGTAAAGTCCAGCACAGAGGAGAGGGTCAGTAACGGCCAGTGAGGACTTGAACTAGCAGAAGGACCACTTTGTAACGTATATGATTGTCTAGCCACCGTGCTGTGTACTTGAAACTACTACAAAGTAATTTTGAATGTAAACTGAAATGGGGGGTGGGAAGGCGGGAGTGGGGGGAGCTAACCTGGGCGCGCCTGGCCGTGTTTTCCGGCTCCGGATACTAGGGGACAGGAGAGCGCTTTTCTGGCCAGTGAGGGGAGAGCCTGTGCCGGCAGCTAGGGGCGCCTGTCGTCCTTGCAATGGCAACGCCTGTGGTGACGGCTCCGGCTCCGCAGCGCTGCCCCTGCTTCCACTGCCACACCCTGGAAGGAACGGACAGCCCTCCGTCAAGCACATTCACACACCAGTCTCACCTCCAAGTCCCTCCAGACAGACCTGATGGCTCATGGTTGACCCAGAGGCCCAGCAAGGGGTAGGGGTGAGGGGACACCTCACTTGGGAAGGACTGGATCTCTCAGACTCGGGGTTGGGAGCTATTTCCCTACACTGACCGCAGGCATGTCCCTGCAGTCCCGCAGCGTGGGTGGGCGGGCTGCCTCCCGCCCACAGTCATGCATCGCCTGGGCAGCTTCTGGAAAACTGGTTTCGGGGACCCTAGCATGTATTTTTCAAAAGCTCCCAGATGACCTGAGAGGTCAGGGCCGAGAGCAGGGCAGGAAAAGGAAGTCAGTGGTACCGGGGCGAAGGCAAGACGACGATCCTCTGCAGGGCCCTCTGCGCCCGGCTGGCTGCAGACCAGGGACAAGACTCACCCTGGCCGCATGCGCGCACAGCACTGCCTCCACGGCCCCGTCCACAGCCTGGGCCCAGGTCAGAACCCTTGGCTCTAAAGGCTGCCCGGGCGCAGAGGCGGCAAGAGTGTTTCTGACCTGCCGACAACACTGGCACCGTAAGGGCCTGGGCCATGGCAGAGGCAGGCCTCCCCTCCTGACCAGGCATCCCGAACATCGCCTGAAGGCTGGGGCCAGAAACTCACTTGTCTCCACTTGAGCCCACCTCGAACTTCCAGTTCTGTTGAGGAAAAGGTAGCTAAGCCGCATCACGTTATCCCATCAGACTAGCTCAGGGAACAAAATGAGGCCATGCTGCCTCCACATTTCCGTTACTTGGTCCAGCCCCAACTCAGTCTGAGGACCCCCCTCCCTGGGTCTTAGCTGGTAATCTCCAAAGCACTCTGCCTGGGAACCCACAGCCACCCCTTGTTGGCCACCTCTGCCAATTCCATCCACAGTTGTGTCCCAAGCGAGCTGCTGCCCGAGTCTGCACCCACCCTGAGGTCAGCTGAATGGCCTCAGGTTCCACACCCGGTGCTCTAGCTCCCAGGCCGACCACCAGATACTGGATGACAACTGGCCTGGCTCAGCCTCTCTCTGTGGTAATTTCTAAAGTGCCCAATCCCTGCCACGTAGGAGCCGAGCAGGAGAAACTTCTGAGTGAGTGAGGGACACTCCCTGCTCACCCATCCAGCTCAGCCGCCTTACCCAGAGTGAACCCACACATGTGAAGTGTTTAGCTTTTTTCCTGACTCCCCCACAAAATAAAAGTCAGCAGATGTGAAATGTATTTAAGTTTTTATTTAGGGACAATTGAAAGAGTTGAAGTACCATTTCGGCCCATTTCAAATTGTACAAGAAGTTTTTCCCTGTTGCCTTCTCTTATCCACGTCCACGGATACAAAATCTAGGAAATGTGCAATTTGCATCTTAGAAATAGCAGCATCCCGACAGGGACCTTGTGAGCCTGGAGACGGCCCAGTGCCAGCCTTGCCTCGGCACAGCCATGGTCCCAAGGCAAGTTACAACCTGTTAAACGTGCCCCTGTGGCAGAACCCCGTTCCACAGGCCAAGGACAAAGCCACGAGGCGCCCCTCTGCGCGCTCACAGGGGCCACCGCGGGAGGCGGGGCCCTCCTACACGGTTAGGTAGCGTTTTCATCTGCCTCTTAGCACCACGGTGATCACTTCTTCAGCCATCTCTGGGAGACAGGAAGCAAACCCAGAGCACTGGTCAACCCCCCCCCCCCCCCAGGCCCCCCAGCAGCCCTCTGGAACAAAGGGTTTGTACTGAGCCCAGAATCTGCCCGGTGGAAGCCAGGAAGCAGGACCATCGGGAAGGAATCTGCAGGCCTTTGGCAAACTCCTTGAGTTCCACAGAGACTGTGCTCAGTGAACTCAACAAACAATGGCCGGAGGACAGAGGGGAAGGGTGGCGTGTTTTCTCTTTACACTATGGCCCTCCTGACACAGCTGGCAAGGCAGCTGCTCAGAAACCAGCAGCCTCCTCCGCACAATGCTCACCTCCCCTGGCACTGGCCGGCTTCACTGCACAGTGACGACCCTGCTGGGGGCAGGGCGGGGGCAGGCCCCCTCCTGGCTCTGGGGAACCTGGGGCTCCAGTAAACTGCAGGACAGACAGCTGTATGGGCAGGAGCCACGGGCAAGGGGCCTCTCTTAACAAACTGCAGGACTACATGTACCTGTGGGTAGGTTCTTACCCTAACAGTCTCTCCGGAGTGTGACTCCCGGGGAAGACGGAGCTTTTTATGGATAGCGTCTGCACAGCCTGTGTCATCCCCAACAGTTCACTGCAGCCCCAGCTACACCGAGCACTTTTAAACCCTCATTCATCATGGGAAGAACAGGAGTTACAGAGCATTAGCAAAGAGAAGCTACTGACACACTCAAGTGCTCACAGGCCCACACACACCACCAGAACCGTCTCCTGAAGAGGCACAAAGACAGGCGAACACTCCCTCTCAGGAGCCTGGTTCACCACCCACCCCTGGTGGACAGCAGGAGAGAGGAGAGGAGGGGACCACAGCCCCGGTGCTCACCTCCCTCCGCTGCGCCTGGCTCAGGCTGAGCACAGCAATGACCAGGTCTGAGGGCTGTGGGAGCCTTCGGGCTGGCGACAAGGCAGGAACTACCTGTTCTTTGTGAGTCCTTGCAGAACTGCAAACTGAAATCTCATTTTTAAGCTCCTGGCTGCAGGTGCTTGCCCTGTCTATATGGTAACCAGCGTCTTCTCATCCATCCCAGACTTTGGGTCCCTACTCCTGCTCCAGATTTGGGGGCAGGTAGAATGCTTGGTTCCTGGGGGGTCCAGGCTGTCATGTCTCCAGTCTGTGAAGGACTAGGGCCCCACTCAAAGGAGAGGCCAGGTTTGCAGGCAGGTCACAGAACAGCCAGTTTCGACAAGAGAGCTCAGGACTGAAGAACCCAGAGAAGCAGACTCTGGGGCCAAATGCTCTCTGTCTTGTGCTCCTCCCAACTATGCGCAGATGCTCTGTCAAGCCAGGGAGAACCGGGGTGAGCCCCCAGTGTGACCTGCACTGGGGATACATACAGATTCCAGCAGAAATGAATTCGAACTGTAAGCCTTTGGACTTATAGCTGAGCTGGGGAGCAAGCCAAACAGCACCCATGAGAGCTACCTGCATCCACTCGGCCTAAATCCAAACCCACCACTTTGCTGAGAGGTTGCCCAGTCTCCTTAGCCCTGGTGTCACAGGGCTCAGCTACCATAAATGGGCCAGAGAGGCCAGCAAGGCGGGCACCTCAGACTGAAGCCTTGCGCAGGGAGGGGACTGAGGAGAAGGCTGGGGCTCCACACCCCCCTTCTCAGGTGCTGGAGACCTGCTGAGGAAGGTGCTCCCCAAGCCACAGGGAGATGGCCCCCAGGCTAGGCAGGCCTGCGCTAGGGGCAGGCAGCAGAGGAAGCAGATTCAGGGGTCCTGCAGAGGGAGGAGAACTGAACCCCATTAACCTGACCCGTGCTGACTGCTGGCTGTGCAGACCTCGCATATCTAGAGGATTCTTTTCCCCAACACAACTGAGCTTTGTAAAGCAGTGAGATACATGAAAATTTAAATTTTGTACAAAAAGTGAGTCAAATGACCCCAGAAAAATTCTGAGCAAGGGAAAGGGGGAATACTTGAGGAAAAGCCCAAACTCCAGGTTTGGTTTAAGATTTCTTCTTGGCTTTTCTCCTCTCCTGCAGAGTGCCTTCCTCCACCTGGGTGTGGGGTCTGAACTGACAAGCTGCTCCAATCCCCAATTTTGGTCCGAGAAAAGGAAGACGAGGCAATAGGGCCCGAAGAGGGCGTCACAAGCAGGAGGCCATGGGAGAGGGTGTGCAGAGCAAGGCGAGACCCAACCGGGAAGAGCAATGCCCACCTGCACGGAAGGCAGCCTGGCACAGAGGTCCGAGTCAGAGGAGGACACAGGACCACGGACAAGGCCACGTCTCAGCCTGGACACACTGACACTCCTGGGGGGATAGCCTCCCTCGGCCAGGCGGGCCAGGGCCGTTAGTACACGTGGGAGCTTAGCAGGCACCACCCCACCCTCTGCCGAGCCCTCACCTTCTGTTTCTGAGGAGCAGGGTGCGGGGGCCTCGGGCTGAGGTGCTTTGTCACTCGGCCATGAAAGGAGCCCTCAGCCCCAGAGTCTGCCGAGGCCAGTGCTGGCCACCCCCTCGCATTCCAGTTCAGGAGCCCGCGGCTCCCAGAGACAGGACCTCCTCCCAGACCAAATGCTCCCCGAGACCCAAACAAGCGATCAAACTATGCCAACCCTATGTACCACACACCCAGATGTCCTGTATCAGAACCAAGATCTGGCTTCACCTCTTAGAACTGGGCCTACAACCTCACTGAAAAAATTATAATAAGCCAAACACAGAGAAGACATGGGCGACGGGTCCCAGTGTACACAGAGGAGCAGGGAAAGATTAGCTACCTTACAAAACTGGCGTTTCCTCTCAGACTATCCCATGGCGCTCAGCTCTGCAGCCCAGACCGCCTTCTGCCCCAGAGGCATCACAGAAGCTCCCCCTTCAGGCGAACGCAAAACTGCCGCCATCTGCCTGTGGCAGGGCCTCGTGCCCCGGCACGAACACAGTCCTGATTTCTGGGCCAGCCTGGCTATTTCTGTGCCCAGTGGCTGTGTTTATGGTTCTGCACCAAAGCCTTGGGTACCTGTGATATCCTTTTAGGCGCCTGCTTAATGTCCAGACCGTCTCTCCCCCCATCATCACCTTTGATCGTTTATTCTTTCAAGCATAAGGCCCACCCCACTGATCTCTCCGGCCAAGGGTATGGAGGAGGCGCTGTGTCCGCTCTGGCCCCTTACCTGGGCAGTCTTGTTATTCCTGTGGCCTGGTGGGTGGAGGGCCAACAATGTGAGGAGAACATGCCAATTTTCCTACCTGTTAGAGGTGAGCTGGTGCTGAGGGTGGGTTGCTCTGTCTTGCATGAACTTGTCCGTCACGCACTTTATTTTTTCTGTCTTGCTGTTTGGATTGTAAATGAAATGTGAACACAAATAATGAAGAATATCCTCTCTAAAGACACACCCTTTGGCCGGTGTGATGGTTCCACTTGAAGAGGGCCTGTGCTGGGCCGCCACCGACATTCCCCCAGCACCCACGTGCCACCAAGTTCCTCAGGTGCACACGTCAGATGTCCATGTCACAAGCAAAGTATCAAACGAGTATGTGTACTGTATATGTGTGTATACATAAATTAACCTGCATGTACATAAACACTAAAGGAAAAATTCCAGGTGTCTGTTCTCTGAAGGAAGGCAATAACTCATCATTCTTGGCAATTCTGCAAAGAGAGCTTTGGAGTTAAATAGCTTCACACCCCAGAATGGAAAGGATACAAAAACAATAGACTGCAAAGCTCGCCCAATATGCACAGGCCACCTGTTTGAAACACATAAGGGTGGTACCTACTGGGACAGAGAGGGCAGAAGAAGCCTTTTCCAAAGAACAGGGTCTGAGGACTTCTCATTGGCAAGGCAAGCCCTCTCCAGGACAGCCAGTGAGAAGCCTGCCTGGTCCAGTTCCCTGGGGTGGAGGGAGGGTGGGCGTATGGGAAGGGGGACCATGTCTAACCCAGCACCAGTGTTTCTTGCCCACAGCCCCTGCCCCCTCTCCAGGGTCTCCTCATGCTGCCCACCAGCCTGGACCAGGAAGGTGTGCCAGGAGGCCCAGTGCTTTGGGAGGCAGGTGGTGTCCAGATGAGCGGGGCTGCAGGTAACCCCTTTTGCTGCCGCACTCTGTACCCGCTGCTCCTAAAGCAGCCAGTCCTGGGGAACAGAGGTTTACCATTCAGTACAGCTCTGAAAGCAAGTTTCCACATGTGCCAAAGGCATCTGTTCCTGTGACTTTTCTTAATAAAAAAACACACGATGTTTAGGCTAATGTAGCCAGAGGTCTTGTTCCCAAGTTTGCGATATAAATATAGACCTTTAACCCCATAAACCCTGCAAGCACCTGTGCAGTGATGCCCAGCACCTGTGGGCGAGTGCCCAGCACACCAGCCAGGCCCTTGGCATGGGGGCCAGGAGGACTCTGGGTGTTCTGCCAGGAACCCCACATGCAGGTCACTATGCCGAAGGCCACCCCGGTTCTGATAATCCCATCCTCACTCTCACCCCAGGCAGGCGTGGGCTCTCCTCCCAGGGGGGAGCACAGGGGCTGGCAGTGAGAGGACGAGGGCTGTGAACACAGGCGGTGGCCATGCACTATCGCTTCTGTTTTCAATTTCCCTCTCACTCTAAGCATGTCTAGATATTTTTTTTTAAATGCGGTCATATAGTCAGTACAATAGGCTGAATAGCAAATGTTTTTTAGTTGATCTGGTAACTAAAAAGTAACGTCCACGATTCAGACTTCCACGAACAAAGCAGAAGGACTACAACAGCTCAAGAGAGTGGCAATCACATAACCCAGTTGTTTGTTAAGTGCAGGAAGGCAGGCTCCGCACCAATTATCCCCCCAGGCGTGTGAGCCGGAGATCCTGCTGCCTCCACCTAAGAGGGGAGAGCACTCCCGAGGCGCCGCCTTCCTTGGGGAGCACAGGGGAGCCCGGCTCCAGATGTGCTGAGTGTGTGTCACCCTGCCCGGCCTGGAAGGAGAGGGAAGGTGGCCAGCGATGTCCAGAGAGCAGACACGGGCCATCTTCGGAGATGATGAAGACACTGCACTGCTGTGCTAAGGAAGTGGCTATGTAACAATAAGTGTTTATGATCCGGGGTCTCATTACGTGTGTACAGGCGGACTATGTTAAAAACTGGATTCTGTGTCTATGACTATGGAATCTGAACTACTTTATCCACTGAAAGGCAAAGGACAGGTCCTACATTGGAAAAACTGACGGGAACTCTGTCTCCCTCTTCTTGGTGACGCTGGCAGAGGTGGCGGAGGGTCTGGGCTGTCTGAGGTTCCGGAGGCTGTGCCCCAGGCCGGGATGGGAATGATGTGCGGCAGAGAGCTGGGTGGGGCCCTTCCACGTGGCAGGCGGCATCCCCGACTGGCCAGTCCTTCACAGTCGTCGGCTCAGTTCAGTCCGTTTCTGAGGAGAAAGCACACGCCTGTCACCTCCATGTCAGCTGCCACGTGTGCAGCCCCTGGGGCGGCATCACCGGCTTCAGGGACTTAACTCCATAAGCAACGCCTTTCTGCCCGCCACTCCCCCTCTGCAGCCGGAGGGAGTGTGGAGGAGCGTGGGTAAAGGACGGGCTGCTGGCTGAATCTGGCGAGGGACCACTGCCCAACCCAGGCCTCGCAGCTGGTGCACCGTCTTCTCTGGGCCCGCTCCCCAGGCCGCTGCCCCGGGAGCCCTGTCCTAACCCCCTCATCTTGCCCGCTTCCTTCCGGCTCCCCAGAACACCCTGTTCTCTGTAAGAGCAGCTGGGGCTGATTTCTGACATGCATTTTACTGATATTTCATTTCTAACTCCAACCCCCAGTCAAAGCCATGCTGTTCAGAGGTTCGCCACCCCTGCTGCTTTCAGAAGCAGCCTGCCTGAGGCTGCTGCCAGGGCCCGAGAAGCCAGGACAGACAGACAGCCTTCTTGCACTGGTGTCTGCCTTGGATAGGAGAGGATGATGCCACAGGTGCAGGGCCGCCAGCCGCTCCTGCTTTGTCCCACCCACGTCAGCAGCACATCACTGGCTGGTGGGTTAGTAGCTGAGGGGAGCAAATACCCATTCATCCAATCCCAGGCTGGCTTTCTTTAGAAGTGTGGTGAGATACACATAACAGAAATCTGCCACTTTAAGTGGCATTAAGTACAGTCACACTGCTGTGTAACCACCACCCTGTTTCCAGCTACCCGAGAACAGAATTTAGTGAAACTTTAATTTAAAAAAAGCAAAAGAAACAGCTGGTTCCAGTTCCCAGCATCTCTGCTGTTTTGCTGGTGAAGCCAAAGCCCAGTTGGGCATTCCCCAGGGGCAAGCCCGTGCAGGGAAGAGGCCAAGGCGACCAGCCCTGTGAGGACAGACCTGTCTCTGGTGCCCATGACGCCCCTGGGAGGGCCTTGCTCATGGGGAGGGGCCTCTATGAGGAGACAGATACCTCAGGGGAAGGAGGGAGGAGAGGCCTTGGAAAATCAGCACCTGATAGTGATGGACAGTGTGATGTGTCCGTAGCTTCAAGAAACCTGTCTTAGCCCTAGCTAATTTGGCTCTGTGGATAGAGCGCCGGCCTGTGGATTGAAGGGTCCTGGGTTCAATTCTGATCTAGGGCACATTCTGTGTAACTTTAAAAATTAGTTAACTGCCGAAACCAGTTTGGTTCAGTGGATAGAGAGTTGGCCTGTGGACTGAAAGGTCCCAGGTTTGATTCCGGTCAAGGGCATGTACCTTGGTTGCAGGCACATCCCCAGTAGGGGGTGTGCAGGAGGCAGCTGATTGATATTTTTCTCTCATCGATGTTTCTAACTCTCTATCCCTTTCCCTTCCTCTCTGTAAAAAATTAATAAAATATATTTTAAAAAATTACTTAACTTCTCACCTGGCCAGCATGCTCAGTGATTGAGCATCAACTATGAACCAGGAGGTCGAAGTTTGATTCCCAGTCAGGGCACATGCCCAGGTTGTGGGCTTGATCCCCAGTAGGGGCTGTGCAGGAAGCAGCCAATCAATGATTCTCTCTCATCATTGATGTTTCCCTCCCTCCCTTTCCCTTCCTCTTTGAAATCAATAAAATATGTATTTTTAAAAGAAATCTGTCTTAAATAAAATATTCTTGCAGAATTTCCTGTCAAGTACTAATACAAGACCCACCATTGGATTCCATACATGTCTAAGAGGGAATGATTTTTCCATTACTTGCACATCAGGAACAATTAAAGAGCAAATTACAGGATTTTCATTATTAAAAAACTTATACGTGTATCTAAGGATAATTAACAATTTAAAAATATATATTTTTATTGATTTTGTATAGAGAAGAAGGGAGAGAGAGAGTTAGAAACATCAATGAGAGAGTCATCGATCAGCTGCCTCTTGCACACCCCCCCACTGGGGATATGCCGCAACCAAGGTACATGCCCTTGACCGGAATCGAACCCGGGACTCTTCAGTCCCCAAACCGACGCTCTATCCATTGAGCCAAATCGGTCTCGGCTCTAAGGATAATTAAAGACTCTCTTTTTGTTTACCAATTTGAGTTGAATTTCCTCAAAAGCCCTATTGCTCTCTCCTACCCAGTGGTTTGGGTTCTGCCTGACCCCAGTGACGTTCTGACCGGTTCTCCTACTGTTGAGAAATGGCTGGAAAAGTGTGGGCCTTGTAGGCTCACTATGTGCCTGCCCTGCACAAGTTTTTAAGAAACATGAAATAAACAACTCTCCACCCCTGATCATCTTATGCCAGTCACCCCAAAGCAGCCGGCAGCCTCTGAAACAGCACATGTTCCCACGCAGTAAACCCAGTGCCCGCCCATGGGTGCCGCTCCCCACACCCAGGAGGACGGCCATGGCTCCTACGGGCTCCTTACCCAGCTGACGACCAGCCTGGGGACTTGGTATGTCACAGGGCTCCGAGCTGGCCTCAGGGGCACTGGGCTCCCACGACTCACTGTTTTCGGACACCTCTGAGCAGGTGTCGCCCAGCCCCTTGTGCACAGCTGCAGGCTCGCCGGGGCCCTGGTCCTCGCTGCCGGTGTCCGCCACGGCCCGGGTCTCCTCGCCCATTTTCTCCGCGAACCACTGCTTGAGCTGCTGGGAGCTCATCTGGGTCTTCTCGCAGAGGCCCGGCAGGTCCTCCTCGTGCAGCGTCTTGTGCGTCACGTAGTAGTCCTGCAGCAGCTCCCGGTTGCCGGGGGTGATGACCAGCAGCCCTGGGGGGAAGTTGCCCCGCTTGTAGTCCTCGTACCACTTGAGCTGGCCGTTCTTAAGGGCGTACCTGCTGTCCCCGAACCAGCGCACCACCTCCGGCCGGGGCAGGCCCGTCTGCGCCATGATGGAGTCGTAGTCCTGGGTGCTGGGCCACTGCGTCTGCACGAAGAGCTGGCGCAGCAGGTGCCGCTGCTGGGCCGTCTTTTTGCAGCTCACCTTGCCGGGCGGCTGCAGGGCCAGCTTGGTGGACGCGTCATCGTCAGGGTCGCAGGCGCCCAGCCCGGGCAGCTCGCCCTTGCCGTTGGCCTCGGTGACCCGCAGGTTCTTCAGGTTGATCTTGATGGGGCTGACTTTGCGCTCAAACAAGGTGTGGGTGCTGGGCACGTCTGGGGAGCCATTCTCCCCAGGGACCCTCAGGTCACCGGCCGCAGCCTCCACTCCCCCCTCCTCCCCGGCAGCCTCCTCCTCCTCCTGACAGGCGCTCCCATCGGCCCTGGCGGTCTCCTCGGTGCTCACCTTCCTCCGTCGCTCAGAGAACCAGCTGTCGATCTCCCTTCGGGTCATTTTGGTTTCGGTCCTCAGGCGATCCAGCTCCTCGTCCAGAGGAAGCGGGTTTTGTGCAAAACTGCTCTCCAGGGCGCGGAGCTGCTCGGGGGCGCGCTCCTTGTATTTGGTTGGTGTGAAGTCAGGGGTCTGGTGCCAGGACTGTCGTTTGGCGGAAGGGTGGGTGGCCAGGATGGCTGCCGTGGGGATGCAGGTCACCTCGGGGGCCTTGGACACTGGGGCGAAGGGCACCTCGGGCACAGAGTCGATGAGGATGGAGCTGGGGTCCCCGGGCATCATGATGCGGGAGCCCTTCAGGTTCCGGCAGTGGTACCTCCGGTCACTGAACCACTTCCTCACCTCCCTGGTACTCAAGCCCGTCACTTTGGTCAGATGCTCGACTTCGCTCTGTCCCGGGAACTGGTTCCGACAGAAGCTGCCTTTCAGAGCTGACAGCTGTTCGTGAGATTTCTTGTTTTTGTAGATGCTGGCGTCAAGGAAGGCTTGGGAAGTGATGCTCGGGCACGCTGTGAGCAACGACTGAGCTGCATTGACCACCTTCACTGCTGACGCTGTGTTGGAACACACGGTGTTAATGGGTGCAACCGCCGGCTGCTTGGGGATGGACGTCACTGTCAGAGGGAGAGACGCGCTTGGTGCCTGCAACCCATTGGCCAGCAGCGGCTGAGTGACCAGGAGGCCCCCCGCCGCTCCCTCTGGCTGCCCCACAACATGGCCCGGGAGGGCGGCCTGGATGAGATGCTGGACGTTGCCAGCGTTGGCCACCAGGGGAGTATTCAGAACGGTGATTGTGGGCTGAGGGACGGACTGGATGACCGTATTGAACATCTTTTTCCGGGCATCCTCGATCTCCTCGGGGGACCAGCTGATGCCTTGCTTCAGCCGCTGGGCTGTGAACCAGATCTTGAGCTGCTCTTCTGGATACTTGGTAACTACGGTCAAGTAGCAGAGCTCGGCTTTGGTTGGGTAGGGGAACTTGTGGAAAGAGTTCTTCAGGAAGCTGTTGGAGTCCATGGCCGCATTGTACGTTGGAATGCTGCTCAAGGGGATCATCACTTTGGGGAGGGACTTGGAGGTGGGCAGCGGCTGGTGGGGGTGGGGGTGGGGGTGGGCATGTGCCGGGGGCTGTTGCTGGAGAGAGAGGAACTGTGCTATCCCTGCCGGCAGAACTGGCACTGTCCCCAGCAGGGGCCCGTTGGTCGTGTGGGGGGGCTTGGCCGGGTTGGTGGGTGCCTGGCTGACGGGGACCGCCCCATTGACAGAGGAGTGGTTCCCTTCCTTCCCATCTGCCTCCCCAGCTGGCGGGTTCGGTGAGGTGTCACTGGCAGGTTGACTGGGGGCGTTCTCTTTGAGCGTATGGATTTTTTTGGCTTCAGCTTTGCCTTTCATTATCTTCATGATTGGAGTTTTGGTGATGATGATTTCGGCTTGTCCATCGGTCCCGTCGGCACTGGGCTCACCCAGCGGGTCAGGAGCGCTGGTACTCTCAGGGACGCTCTGCTCCACGATCACATGATTGTCTGGCTTGGCCACATTCCACCGAAAGCTGGCTTCCCCCAGGTGGCACTTGGCATTGTGCAGAGAAAGCGCCTCAGGAGTTTTTGCCAGAAAGCTGCACTCATTGCATACAAAGGTCGGGTCTATATTAAAGTCTGTGTGCTCGGAGTTCATGTGTCCCACAAACTGGGTTATGTCCTGGGATCTGAAATCACAGTATTTACAAGAATACAAATAGCCATCCACAGTGCTCCGATGCCCGTTGGCCAGCGCAGCGCTGTCGGTGCTGCTGGAGGCCTGGGCGACCTCGCTGCTGGGGGCAGGCGCCTCTGGGGGCAGGTCCGGCGGGGGCCCTTCGGGCAGAGCCTCGGCGGGCTGGGCCTCTGCACCGGCTTCCTGCAGCACCACAGTCTTCACGGGGATCATGCACGGGGTGGTGGATTTCCGCTTGCTGGCCATGGCGAAGCCGCTCCGGGTGATGGCGTGGGGGCAGCTTGTCCTGTCAAAGGCCTCACAGTGCAAGTTCCAGCTGCTGCATGAGGGCCAGAGGGTTTCCAAAAAGCTTTTTCAGTTTGCAGAAAGCAAGTTTCCCTATTAGACCTGAGGAGGAAGGAAAACACATGATTAAGATCTCCGAAGCTCTGCTGTGTTTCTCCGATGCTCGGACACACTCCACTGCGTGGCTTCCATCGCTTCTGCCACTCGGGGACAGCCGGCAGGAAGTTCCGCAGCAGCTTGGATGTCAACTTGGAGTCAGGAGCCCCCCAAATGCTAACAATACGGTGCCCTGAAGAATGACCTGGAGATGTTCCCATCCCACTTGACAGACTTCAGACATGTGTTTCTGTTTTGTATTCCCCTCTGCCTCCATGCGTTAAGTAACTCAGATTCAAAAACAAAAACGACAACAATGAACTAATCCTCTCTTGAACCTCCAAATTCATTCTGACCGTCTGAGTGAGAACAAAAGATCCTAGTGTAGTTCTTGTTTAAATGTTTGGGCCAAGCAGGGCTTTCTTTTCATAGCCTTCCCACATATGAGAACAAGATGACGCCTCTGCCTCGCCCAAGCCAGGCCAAGGCCAAGTCAGCGGGCGGGGGAGCTGGAGCCGGGCCTCACTCCGTGCCCTTCCCCTGCCTGCCGCTCTATCACACACACTCCAGGCTGCCGGAGAGGGAGCACCTCACCGTTACTGCTGTACCCCAGACCACTGCGGAGCCAAAGGCCACAGGGTCAGGGGGTCCACAGACCCAGTCTGCGGCCCCGCCAGCTGCACATGCTCTCTCTGGCGCAGCCATTTACAGTGTGGCCTCACCTTGGGTGCACAAACTGCACATGACATTGTATTGTGCTGATTTCGTTTTTATTTCTTTCAGTGCCTTCCTTAAAAATACACTCTTAAATCTTTGATCCATTTGAAATTTATTTCAAAAGCTGGGTGACTGATTTATTTACATGTAAATAATTATTATAACTTTTTTTTTTTTAAGTCTCCACTGAGGACATGCTTTTATTGATTTTAGAAGAGAAGAAAGGAGAAGGAAAGACAGAGAAACATCGATGTGAGAGTGAAACATCAATTAGTTGCCTGCCTGGGGACTGAACCCGCAGCCTGGGTATGTGCCCTGACCTTTTAGTGTACAGAATGAAGCTCCAACTAGCTGAGCCACACTGGCCAGGGCTACTATAATAATTCTTTCTTGAAACGAGAAAGCGTTTCTGTGATTCCTATCATTAACATAATATCACTATAATCATCATTATCTTTCTTTTAGCAAATGATAATAATAATGATTAAAATAATTTTAATACCAAAATAATGTTATCATTAGTGTTTGGATTTGATATAAAAGTGTGAAGAAACGTAAAATATCTCTATTCATATTCTTAGTGAATAAACACAGCAAACTTTTTCTGTTTGTAAGTCTAATGCTAATTATCATAATAAAAAATAATTACCATTAAAAAATAGTTAGTGTGGGAAGGATAAACATACACCCAGGATCTAATCTCCTGTCACCATTTCCTGACCAATTTGAAATATCATGAACATATCTTCTATACTTAATTTTTAATTGTAAAAATAAAATATCAGTATTAAATAAAATTTAAGAAAATAAAACCACCTGTAATTTTGCATATTCTTCCATCTAATGCAAATATTTCACACATTTTTTTATTGCAAATATTTCACACAAATTGTCTTTAGAGAGAGTGGAAGGGAAAGGGAGAGACAGAGAGAAACATTGGTTGGTTGCCTCCGGCATGGTCCCTGAACAGGGCCAGAGATCAAGCCCGCAACTGAGGTACCGGTATGTGTTCTTGACTGGAATTGAACCCAGGACCCTTCAGTCCACAGACTAAGGCTCTATCCACTGAATAAAACCAGCTAGGGCTCACACATATTTTTAATCATCTTGGGCACATTGTTTTTTTTCCACTGAACATGACATCATAAACATTTTCATTAAAGAAACTTCATAATTATAACATTCAATAGCTGCTTAATAATGTACCACTATAGACTTAATTCATACTCCTCTGCTATTGAACAGGTTTCCAGCATCCCTTGCTCACAGGTGACAGTGAAATGACCTCTGGATATATAGGATCTATTATTCTACTAAACGATTTCTTAAGGATGAGTTCACAGAAATGGGTTTACCAGCTTAGTGAGTATCAACATTTCTGAATTCCTCTATATATTATTGACTAACATGTTCAATCATCTTCTTTATAATTCCAAATCAGGAAACTAAGAACAACACATTTATGTTTCCAGTGAGCAAATCATATTTTAGGGTAAATAACTGAAGACATCAAATAGAATATTTGAAAGCACAAGAGATGTAATAGAAAACAGATAAATTAGTATTAAAATTAAAAACTTTTAGGCCTCCAAGGTCAGCATCAAGAAAGAGAAAGACAACTTGCAAAATCAGAGAAAATATTTGCAAATCATGTATCTGATAAGGGGCTTGTATCCAGAATAAAGAATCTGACAACTCAACAATAAAAAATACCCAATTAAAAAATAGGTAAAGGATTTGAAAGACATTTCTCTAAAAAAAATAAACAAATGGCCAGTAAAGACATGAGAAAGTGTCCACCAGTGATGGCTGGTGGAGCTCGGAGCTCCATGGCCATCCAGGCAGCAGTGGAGCAGCCAGGTCTAGAGGCTGCTATTGGGGGTGTCCCCAGGAAGGGCTGAAGTTGTTTAAGAAGAAAGTGTTCAACATCATTAGTCATGAGGGAAATGTAAGTCAGTATCACAATGAGATATCACTTCATACCCTTAGGATGGCAAAAAAAATCCAAAACAAATCCTATCTAATAAAGAGGAAATATGCTAATTGATCCTCACACCATCGCAAAGATGGCAGCGCCCACAGCCAATAAGGAGGGAATATGCTAACTGACTGCCCTGCCCTCAAAGATGACGGCGCACAGTCCCCTAAGCCCCACTGGGGCAGCAGGCACACAGCAAGGCCGGGCCCACCCTGCATGCCTGCCTCCGGAGTCCCCCAGTCCTCTCAGGCCCCCAGCAGCCCAGAGCCTGACCAAGGCGCAGACAAGCCTCAGATGGTGGCTGCTCAGGTGACCGGGGCCAGCTGAGGCTTGCGCTGCCGGCAGTGGCAGCAGCAGAGGTGTGCATCACCTTCCCGATTGCTGGGTCACCTCCTGCCCCTGAGGGCTCCCGAACTGTGACAGGGCAGGCTGGGCTTAGGGACTACCCCTCCAGTGCATGAATTTTCATGCACCAGGCCTCTAGTAAATAAATAACAGAAAATACCAAGAGTTGTTGAAGATGTAGAAAAATTGGAACCCTTGTCATTGTTGATGGAAATGTAACACTGTATTGCTTCCATAGAAAACTGTGGCCTTTGCACTCTGATGTTTAGTTCCTTGGATGTAAAGTTTTTAAGTTTGATTTAGTCCCACTTGTTTATTTTTGTGGTTTTTTTTTTTGTTTGTTTGTTTTTTTTGTTAAATCCAATAAGTCATTGGCAAACCAATGTCATGAAGCCTTTGCCCTGGTTTTTTTTGTTTGTTTTTGTTTTTTTGTGTTCTTTTAGCAGTTTTATAGTTTCAAGTCTTATGTTTAAGTCAGTGATTTTTAAATGGTGTACCATGGCGCACTGGTGTGCAGTACTTGACTATTTAGTCAGGGGCACTGATCTCTTTTCTTAGATTGTCAAATAAAAAAAAAATGCCAACACAACAATAGTCAACTGGAGTGAATGAATCAATATTATACCTATTTTTTTGTGAGGCAAAACATATATTTCTGTTAGTGCCACATAATTTTAGTAATTAGTTTACATGTGCCATGAGATAAAAAAGGTTGAAAATCACTAGTTGAGGTCTTTGAGTTAATTTCTGTATGTGGTGTAAGGTAACGGTCCAACCTCATTCTTTTGTATGTGGATATACAGTTTTCCAGCACTGTTTATTGAAGCTACTGTGCTTTCTCCTTTGTAGCCTTGGCAGCCTTGTTGAAGATCATTTGACTATATATGAAAGAATTCATTGGACTCAATTCTGTTTCATTTGTCTATGGAAATCTTTATGCCAGTGTCATACAGGGTTTTTTTTTTAATATATACTTTTTTATTTCAGAGAAGAAGGGAGTGGGACAGAAATATTAATGATGAGAGAGAATCATTGACTGGCTGCCACTGGGAATCAAGCCTGCAATCAAGGCATGTGCCCTGACTAAGAACTGAACCATGACCTCCTAGTTCCTACAGTGACACTCAACCAATGAGCCACACCAGCCAGGTGTGTATCATATAGTTTTTATCACTGTACTTTTGTAATACAAGGTTGGCAAAAGTAGGTTTATGGTTATGAGTAAGGAAACAGTTCATTCTTATTTATTATATTTTTTCCATAAGAACAACTGCAAACCCACTTTTACCCACCCCCTGTATATTTTGAAATCAGGATGTGTGAGGTCCCCAGCTTTAATTTTCTTTTTGAAGATTTTCTTCTTTTCTTTTCAGGGTCCTTTAAGATTCCATATGAATTTTAGGATTTTTTCCCCCCCTAATTCTGAAAAAAAAAATGCCAATGGAATTTTGATAGAGATTGCATTGAATCTGTTGATAGCTTTGGATAATATGGACATCTTAACAATATAAAGTTTTCCAATTCATGAACATGAGATGTCTATTTATTTGTGTCTCCTTTAAATTTTCAGCATTGTTTTATAGTGGGTTTTTTTTTCCATCCAAATCTTGACTCCTTGATTAAATTTATCCTTAAGTATTTTGTCCTTTTTGATGCTATTGTAAATGAGATTGTTTTCCTTTTTGGACTTTTCACTATTAACATGTAGGAAAAAATTATTCTTGTGTGTTGATTTGTGTCCTGCAATGTTGTTGAATTCTTTTTTCTTACAGTTTTTTTTGTTTTGTTTTGTATTTTGTGGAGTTTTTAGGGTCGTCTACATATA